TTGTCTGTTGTGCTAGTTTTGGATTTGTTGAACCTCTTATGGTATATTTGTATTCTATTTTATTATTTCTGTTTCTATCCTGGCATAGCCTATCACTTTTATAACATTTAGATCTAAATATTAATTTTATTCTGATTTGTTCTTTCATTCACGAAATATGTAGTAGTGCTTTTAATTTCCAAATATATGAGGATTTTTCATTTATATTTTCATTATTAAATTATAAATTTAAGTATATGGTAGTCAGAGAATATATCTACATGATAATCATTTAGAATTTATTGAGACTTTATGATCTAGTGTATTGGCAGTTTTTGTAAATGTTCTACTTGTGCTTGAGGAGAATGGTTAATCTTTAATTATTGGATGGAGACATTTATATTTGTTCATTGGATCCAGCTGGGTAATTTTATTGTTCAAACCTCTGGTTATCTCTATCTTTGCTGGCTTTCTGTCTGCTTGGTCTGCCAGTAATAAGTAAGTGTGTAGATTTGTTCATTTCTCTCAGAGGTCCTATTGCTTTTTATTTTATACATTGTTGAGGTGATTTTATTAGATTCATATGTGATTAGAATTGTTGTCTTCTTCATAAATTGAATCTTTTATCACTATATAGTGGGTTTCTCTCCATAATGATACTTTGGGCCTTAAGATCTATGTATTTTATTTTACCAAAGCTATATCAGCTTACTTTTAGCTGTAGTAAGACTTGAATATAAACTTTTTGTGTGTTCTTATCCTTTAGGTATATCTCTTATAACAGCACATGGCTGTTACTTTTGTTTTTGTTGAATCAAATTTGATAATCTCTGACTCTTAACGGGTAACTCACCAGTTATTCTAGTTACCTTTATTGTAATTAATGAAATATTTGGACTTTTTTCTACAGTCTTTTATCTGTCATATATTTAATATGTATTTTTCTCTTCCTTTTTGGTTTTTAAAATAAATGATTCCTCCTTCTTCCTATCAAGACAAGAACTTTAACCCAGCTGTTTGCCCTTGATTTTGCCAAACCCTCACCTCCAATGATTGTTGATATTTTCTAGAACTTTCTCATGGGTTATTGTGAATAGTTTTCCCCTGTGTCTCTCCTAAGCACACTGTCTGTCATTTAAGATAACAACAAACTGTACCAAGGTATTTGATCATCCATAATTGTTGTAGCATCTTCTGAATTTATTTTTTATCTTATGTATTTCCTCTAACAGTTTTTCGATGTGGGTCTAATGGTGAATCTAATTTTGATAGTAAATCTGATTAAATCTGGCAAGCCAGGCAGTTTTTATAATGTTTTAAAGTAGCTGAGTAGTAGTTTAAAATGTTATTTGAGTGCATATACAATTTTGGGTTCAGGGTTCACCCCTGTATTATGTTAAGAATGTTGCCCTAACCGGTTTGGCTCAGTGGATAAAGTGTCGGCCTGCGGACTGAAGGGTCCCGGGTTCGATTCTGGTCAAGGGAATGTACCTTGGTTGCAGGCACATCCCCAGTAGGGGGTGTGCAGGAGGCAGCTGATCGATGTTTCGCTCTCATCGATGTTTCTAACTCTCTATCCCTCTCCCTTCCTCTCTGTAAAAAATCAATAAAATATATTAAAAAAAAAAAGAATGTCCCTGCATTGTCTCCTTACACCAGTATGCCATTGGGAAAAGTCTGGTGTCAGTCTGCTCCTTGCTGTTGGCAGGTGATATGCTCTCTTCCCCTAGAAGTTATTATAACGTTTTCTTTTACCTGGTTTTATTAAATTTTACTATATGTCTAAAATAGACTTTTCCTTGTCTGTTCTGTTTGCATTTCATGAAAGTGTTCTTTCAGTACTAAGCCATCCGTTTTAAATATGGGGAACATTTTCTCCATTATTTTTCCATTATTTCCTTCTCTCCAGTTTAATCTTTTTTCCTGGGACCTCTGTTATCTGGATGTTGCCCCTTCTGCTTATAGCCTCCACAGCTCTTAAATTGTATTTTGATTTTTTAATCTCTTCCTCATGTTTTCTGGGAGAGCTCTTTAATCTTACTTCCTAACTCACCAGTATTTCCCGTGTCCATACCACTGTTCATCTTATTTCTTATGTTCCTTATTTTACAATTATGTTCTTACTTAATATTTCCCCCTTGTTTTTTAAAATGAAAATTTTTGTTTTATATTATAAATATCCTTTTTTAAACTGTATTTATTATGTCTATTTTATTTGCTTGATTTATCTGTTTTAATCTTATTTCTTCTATTGGTATATATTTTAGATTTTTTTTGGAGGTACTTGTTATAGTTCTCAAGGGTTTCCTTAGTTTAGCCTGTAAGTTTGCTCCCCTAAAATATTAGCTATTCTGTATGACACTAGAAACACTCAATATACATCACAATTTTCAAGAAAGGAGATGCCGAGGAGTGCAGTAACCATAGGACCATTGCTCTAATGTCCCAAGCAAGTAAAGTGATGCTCAAGGTGATACGACAAAGGCCTCTACCTCACACGGAGCAAGAAATGCCAGATGTTCAAACTGGGTTCTGAAAAGGAAGAGGCACTTGAGATCTCATTGTGAACATTGGTTGGATATGGGAGAGCTCCAGGGAATTTCAGGATTTTACAAACTACAGTAAAGCCTTCGATTCCGTGATCTTGAAAGCTCTGTGTTGCTCTGGAAGAACTGGGCGCATCCCAGCACTTGATTATCCTGAAGCATAA